AACATTGCTACCCATACACATAAAGAAATATATAAAAAAAGCCGGATGCAGTGGCTCATGCCTGTAATCCCAGCACTTTGGGAGGCTGAGGCGGGTGGATCACCTGAGGTCAGGAGTTCAAGACCAGCCTGGCCTCGTCTCTTAAAAACAAACAAACAAACAAAATACAGCTGACTTTTGAACAACCTGGGGGTTAGGAGTCAAAAATCCAAGTATAAGCTCTGACTCCCCAAAAACTTAACTATTAATAGCCTACCGTTGACTGGAAGGCTTACCAATAACATAAAAAATCAAGTAACACATATTTTGTATATGTGTTATATGCTATATTCCTACAATAAACTAGAGAAAAACAGAATGTTATTAAGAAAATCAGGCCAGGTGCAGTGGCTCACGCCTGTAAAAAAAAAAAAAAAAAGCTTTGGGGAGGCCGGGTGTGGTGGCTCATGCCTATAATCCAAGCACTTTGGAGGCCTAGGCGGGTGGATCACCTGAGGTCAGGAGTTCAAGACCAGCCTAACCAACATGGTGAAACCCCGTCTTAAAAAAAAAAAAAAAGCTTTGGGAAGCTGAGGCAGGTGGATAACTTGAGATCAGGAATTCAAGAGCAACTTAGTCAACATGGTAAAACCCCAGCTCTACTAAAAATATAAAAATTAGCCAGGTGTGGTGGTGCCCGTAATAGCAGCTACTCAGGAAGCCGAGGCAGGAGAATCACTTGAACCTGGGGAGGTGGAGGTTGCAATGAGCCAAGATCATGACATTGCACTCCAGCCTGGTTGACAGAGTAAGAGTCTGTCTCAAAAAAAATAAATAAATAAATAAAAATCATAAGGAGAAAATGTATTTACTGTTCATTAAGTGAAAGTGAGTCATCAGTTCCAGTGAGGATCAAGGTCATCATCCTCGTCATCTTCATGTTGAGGAGGCTGCGGAGGAGGAAGAGGGGTTGGTCTTGCTGTCTCAGGGGTGACCGAGGGGGAAGAAAATCAATGTATAAGTGGACCTGCATCCTTCAAACTTGTATTATCCAAGGGTTGACTGTAATGATATTTATATCTAATTCTATCCCTCAAATCTCTTGGTGCAGTTTTGGGTTCTGTTTTTCTTTAACAGTATTTCATAAGCATTTTTTTCTGGAGCATAAAAAGAAATCTTATAAAAATATTTAATTAAAGAAATTTTAAATACTCCAGAATCTTCTGTAACTACACCCTGTCCAGTGGAACTTTCTGCAGTGATGGAAATGTTCTATAATAGCTTGGTGCTGTCCAGTATGGTAGCCATGAGCTACATGTGCTACTGAGCACTTCAAGAGAGGCTGGTATGACTAGGAAACTGAATTGTAAATTAACTTAAATTTTATTGACTTATTTAGAGACAGAGTTTTGCTCTTGTTGCCCAGGCTGGAGGGCAGTGGCACGATCTCGGCTCATTGCAACCTCCGCTTCCCGGGCTCAAGTGATTCTTCTGCCTCAGTCTCCCAAGTAGCTGGGATTACAGGCATGCACCACCATGCCTGGCTAATTTTGTATTTTTAGTAGAGATGGGGTTTCTCTACACTGGTCAGGCTGGTCTTGAACTCCTGACCTCAGGTGATCTGCCTGCCTTGGCCTCCCAAAGTGCTGGGATAACAGGTGTGAGCCACCATGCCCGGCCAAGTTAAATTTTAAATGAGGTACTCTTGTGTGCTTAGTGGCTACTGGACAGCCCAGTTCTGTAGATAATTTATAATGGAATTTATGATGAGTCAGACTGCCTGGACTCAGATTCCAGCTTCTCCATGACCTTGGTCAACTTGCTTAGTTTCCTTATCTGTTAAAGAGAGCTGAAGGTAATGGCATCTCTGCAAAGGGTTGTTGCTTAATAGGTAGCAAGGACGTTTTTGTTTTTTTAAGTCAGAAAGTCAGCTTTTTTTTTTTTTTGAGACGGAGTTTCGCTCTTGTTACCCAGGCTGGAGTGCAATGGCGCGATCTCGGCTCACCGCAACCTCCGCCTCCTGGGTTCAGGCAATTCTCCTGCCTCAGCCTCCTGAATAGCTGGGATTATAGGCACGCGCCACCATGCCCAGCTAATTTTTTGTAGTTTTAGTAGAGACGGGGTTTCACCGTGTTGACCAGGATGGTCTCGATCTCTTGACCTTGTGATCCACCCGCCTCGGCCTCCCAAAGTGCTGGGATTACAGGCGTGAGCCACTGTGCCCGGCCTTTGAAAGTCAGCTTTTTTTAATGTCCAAAGCTCTGCCATAAATTTCTAGCAGATGTCAAGGATATTATTGATGCTAGCAGATATTAGCAGTTTCTTGACTAAAACTTTCAAGTGCTTGTTTCTGTCACTATAAATATATATGCCTTCAAAAGCATTTATGTTTATGGAATGATCTTGTTCGGATCCCAGATTTTATAGGTTTAGGTTGTAGGATCATTCATTCAAGCAACTTTGCCAGCACAACGTAGAAGTTTCAAATAGTTATGCTTATTACTGGTGCTGTAGGTGGGAGCTTGGGGAGTGAGACAGCATCTCAGAATAAAATTTCAGGCCAGGCATGGTGGCTCACATCTGTAATCCCAGCACTCCGGGAGGCCAAGGGTGGGAGGATCACTTGAGCTCAGGGTTCGAGATCACCCCGGACCTCATCCCTATTCTGAAACAAAATTTTTAAAAAGAAAAAATAATAATAATTAGCCAGGCATGGTGGTATGTACCTGTAGTCCCAGCTACTCAGGCAGATAAGGTAGGCGGATCACCTGAGCATGGGAGGTCAAGGCTACAGTGGGCCCACAGAGTGAGACCCTGTCTCAAAAAAATAAAATTAGTAGGGTGAAGTGGCACATACGTGCAGTCCCAGCTACTCAGAAGGCTGCGGTGGGAGGATCACTTGAGCGGAGAGGGAAGATTTCATACCCAGTGGAGGGTGGGGAGGCTGCAAGGACTGGGGGCCAGGTGCCAGGGCCTACACAGCCAGACCGAGGAGGTGGGCCGCAGGTGAGTCATGCAAGGTTGAAAGGGGCAGAACTCCCAGAGGCCAGAGTTGGGGCAGGAAAGGGAGTCCATCTCATGCATGACCCCAGATGCTAAGACATGCTTGCTGTACTTTGAAAATACCCTGTTGGGCTGAGTTCATTACATTCTTTCTACATTTATTTTTTGTTTGTATGTTTGAAACAGGGTTTCACTCTGTTGCTCAGGCTGGAGGGCAGTTATGATCACGGCTTACTTCAGCCTCGACTCCCAGGCTCAAGTGATCCTCTGGCCTCAGACTGCCAAGTAGCTAGGACTACAGGAACGCACCACCACACTTGGATAATTTTTTATTTTTTTGTATAGATGGGGTCACACTATATTGCCCAGGCTGATTGCAAACTCCCCAGCTCAAGTGATCCTCCTGATCTCAGCTCGCTGTAACCTCCACCTCCCAAGTTCAAGCAATTCTTGTGCCTCAGCCACCAGAGTGGCTGGGACTACAGGCATGTGCCACCATGCCTGGCTAATTTTTGTATTTTTTGTAGAGATGGGGTTTCACCATGTTAGCCAGGCTGGTCTTGAACTCCCAGCCTCAAGTGATCTACCCGCCTCAGCCTCTCTCAAAGTGTTGGGTTTACACGCATGAGCTATTGTGCCCAGCCATCTTAAAACTTTTTAATGGAAACTTTCAATTATAAACAAATGTAAACAACAATAATAGGCCAAGGGTGGTGATGCGTGCCTGTGGTCCCAGCTACTCGGGTGGCTGAGGCATGAGCATCACTTGAACCTCTAAGGTGGAGGTTGCAGTGAGCTGAGATCGTGCCACTGCACTCCAGCCTGGGCAACAGAGCAAGACTCTGTCTCAAAAAAAAAAAAAAAAAGTTTAAAAGAAGTTCCTTTACTACTTGGATGATTTAAAAGAAAATAGGTTACATTTTCTGCTATGGATTAGACATTATTGAAAAAGATGTACTGTGAAATGGTTGCTTTCAGAAAATGATTTGTTTTTTAACTTGGCTTCTGAGGCAAGAAAAACTATTAATAGAAATATGAATTTAACTATTTTTCAGATACAGTGCAGTCAGCTTGAAGAGGATATTCAGTCCTTAACAGAAGAAACGGAACTCTTTTATCACAGAGGGTTGTAGGCGTGAGTTTTAGGTGAATTGATGTGGTTCCTGCGTGAAAACCTTGCCCTCTCCAGGTTCGGTTTAGAGAACTCTGCCACAAGTCTTCTGGGAACCCCAGAGGTGTCTGTGCTGACAAGGTGACTTAAAATTCCACACTGAGATCGTTCCCAGGCTGGTGTGTCTGGGGTTTTTAAGGCTGGCTAGAGAAGACAGCAGGAAGGGGCCCCCATCTGACACCTTGGGGATTGTTGAGGGGATAGTTGGAGTGAGTCTCAGCCTGTGAAAGGATACTGTGAAATCACTAATTAATAAACCTGTCTCAAGTTGAGTATTTGAAGAAAGAACACAAAGAGTCCACCGTGCCCAGGACACAGGCGTTAAATGGATAGCCCGTCTCAAGTGGAACACGCACCCCTGGGGAGCTGTTTATGGCCTCCAACCCCAAAAGCAATCTTGCTTCCTTACTCAGCGTCCTCCATTCTAGAAGGCTACTTAAAACTTTTGCTGGCCGGGCGCGGTGGCTCAAGCCTGTAATCCCAGCACTTTGGGAGGCCGAGGCGGGTGGATCACGAGGTCAAGAGATCGAGACCATCCTGGTCAACATGGTGAAACCCCGTCTCTACTAAAAATACAAAAAATTAGCTGGGCATGGTGGCGCATGTCTGTAGTCCCAGCTACTCAGGAGGCTGAGGCAGGAGAATTGCCTGAACCCAGGAGGCGGAGGTTGCGGTGAGCCGAGATCGCGCCATTGCACTCCAGCCTGGGTAACAAGAGCGAAACTCCGTCTCAAAAAAAAAACAAAAAAAAAAACTTTTGCTGCCCTCACCCAGTGCCTCCTTTCTCCTCTCTGCCAAAGGACCCTGCCTCCTCTGCCAGGAAACCAAGGTCAGCAGTGAAGCCTCCCGTCCTGCACCCACACCCACACCCATCCTTCCTCCATGCAAGGCCAGCGTCCTCCAGGCTCTGGGCCCCTCTCTGCTTCCTCAGGGCTGTGCTCTGCAGCCTCTGTCTGCTGGGTCCTTCCCTGAAGTATGTAAACTGCTTGTCAGCCAGGTGCAGTGACTTACACCTGTAATCCCAGAACTTTGGGAGGCCGAGGCCAGTGGATCATCTGAAGTCAGGAGTTCGAGACCAGTCTGGCCAACATGGTGAAATCTTGTGTCTATTAAAAATACAAAAATCAGCCGGCTGTTGTGCGCACCTGTAGTCCCAACAACTCGGGAGGCTGAGGCAGAAGAATCACTTAAACCCAGGAGGCAGAGGTTGTAGCGAGCCAAGATCGTGCCTCTGCACTCCAGCATGGGCAACAGAGACTCTAACTCAAAAATAAAGTGCTTGACACCGGCCACATTAGAGACAGGAACTTGCTGTCACCCAGGCTGGAGTACAGTGGCACAACCATAGCTCACTGCAGCCTTAAACTCCTGGGCTCAAGGGACCCATCTGCCTCAGCCTCCTGAGTAGCTGGGCCCCCGCCACCGCACCTGGCTATAGCCAGACACCTTAAGAGTTGTCCGCCCTCACTGTCTCTGCCCTGCCCACCGTTCTGCTGAATCTTCTCTCATCCGTGACCCACCTGAATGTTGTACTGCCATGCTGCTGGGTACTCAGGCTGGTCACTGAGCTGCCTACTCCGCTGCACTTTGCCATTTGGATGTCCCAAACACCTCAAATTCAACCCACCGAAACCTGAGATCAGCTCTCTCTCTCCCAGTCTCCCTCCCAGCTCTCCCTCCCAGGAATTGACACCACCACCTACCCAGGTGCAGCAGGCAGGATCCCTGGAGCACCCTCTCCCCACCTTACTCCCAGCCTATTCAGTAGACTGGGCCCAGGACACATAGTCTGGAACCCTCCTATGCCCACTGCTACCTCCCAGTGCAGTCCCACAGCACCCCCTGCTGGCCTGCCTGGCCTATCTGCCTACTCCCCCAAGTCTGATTCCAGTCTGCTCTTCTAAACTGCACCTGCTGAACAGCTTTTTTTTTTTTTGAGACGGAGTTTCCCTCTTGT